AAAGAAAGAAAGAAAGAAAGAAAAAAAGAGATCAAGCAGCTCACTTTTGGGGATAAGTATACTAATCCATGTGCATTAATTATCCGATTTGTTAAACCCTCGAGTTAAGACATGTAAAGGTTCTACACTAAGCTCTTAAATAATAGCCACGCGACAAAATTCTGTCAATTATCACTGAAACTAAAGGAAAAAAGAAAAGTGAATTCTAAGATTAACTGAAATCTTAAGCACAACAAGCAAGCAGAAGACTTGCCTGAAATTCCAGCCCTTTGCATTCCACAATGGTCAAAACAAGAGCTTTCTGACCAATTAAACCAAAGATTTCCTTCTTAGCAGATTCATCACGTACTAATATTACCTGTTCCGCACCAAAGCCTACTATTTTGCCAACATTATTGCCCCTATTCCCAAAAATAGTTAAAATAGCATTTTCATCATCTCCGGGCTTGAGCAACACTGGAGCCGCACCATCTATAAGACTTGTCTCGGGTTTCAAGACATCTACAGATTGAGGGAAATAATGACGAAGCAGATCAATCACACTCTGAGCAAGTTTGAGTACACCAGTATGTGTGCGGAAATTTTGAAGCAACTGAAAAACACATGACAAGTGTCCTTTATCTTTTCTTTTGGCAGCTTTGTCACCCTTTGAGTCCATGACAAACTCATTGTAGAATAGATTCCTTATGTCTTCAAACCGAAAATCTATTCCCCTTGCAATTGTCTGGGCCGTATCCCCAGAGAAAACGAAGCCTTCTTCAACATTCCTACAAATGTATTTGAAAAGAGAAATCTGTCTCATTGTTAGATCCTGAACTTCATCAATATACACAAAGTCTATCTTGTCACCGTCCAAATTATGACATTTTAGCCGATGATGGAGATCATTAACTACATCAGATATATCAAATTCACCACGCTCCATCTTCATCTCTTCATAAGCTCGGAAAATATCATAAATTCCATTTCTTTTTTCCGCACTTATATTGGAGACCCGATATTCAGACATCGAAATATAGGCGTCTCTGTTTAGCTTCCCGTCATGAAAATCCCCTGCTTGTAGCCCTCCTTTTATATGAGAGATTATTTCCGTAAAGACCCTTGAAGAATCAAGATTCTTGGTCAACTGACTACTGAAGCGAGGCCAATACAAGCAACAGAAACGATCATAGTTGATCTCCTTCTCTCTTATGAAAGTTTGTAGAGCGACTGACCTCAAATTTCTATCATTGGAAAGTTTCCACTTCAAATTGAATCTATCAAAGTAGGAGGAACCTACAGTTCCATCAAGCATCATTAAGAATTTATGAAATGTGATTACAAGAGGGTATTTTTTGTATGGAATGTCAGTAAAGGAACTCGGTATGTCATTAAACTGCTTCAATCCATCTAAATCATCAACTTCGAAGCTACTTTCCGCCCAAAAACTTCCTCCACAGGCAAACCTGCAGATT